TTCTCTCCTATGAGCCCTAATTTTTTATCCAAGGTTTCATCATGGGACCAAATATGTTTTTTGTAGATCAAATGTAGTTTGCTATGGATTTCAATGCTTATTAAGTGTTCTAAAATACCAGGAGATTACCATTTTCTTAATATATGGTTGAATCTCACCTCTAATGGTGGATTTAGGGTAATTCATGCCCTAAATTCATAAAAACAAATTATACCATTGCACTTATGACTTGTACCTTGTGATCTAGACATCATTTGATCATAGTTCACAGACTAAATGTAACATCCCAAAAATTAATAGTAAAATTTTCATTTAAAAAACACTTAAACCATACAAATGAGTTGTTTTAAAACCAATCAGGGCGATTATATCATTTAAATATCATAGTTAAATCATAAACAATCATTGCAGAATAAAATCTTCAGGGGTGCAGTGCGATCAAGCCAGACCCTTCCTTTTGAAACCACAAGTATGTAACGCCCATAGATCCGAGCTAGTTAATTTAGAGATAATAGGGATTGAAAATGACTTTTCGAAAAAAGATTATTTAGAATAAATAATCTTAACCACGTTGTAGAATACGTCTCAAGAGTTCCGAACATATAAAGAACGCCAAAATCCGATTTATAACGAATAAGTTATGGTCCGTCGAAGTTTTACAACAAAACCGACATGACATCGGGAGACGTAAATAGTGAATTTAAGATAGAGGACTTTTAGACTTAGAAACCTAAACAAAATTTGTAGTATATGTTAAACCGAGAACATATAATAAATAAAAAAAAGAATGCCCAAATCTGACTTCGTATGAAAAAGTTATGAATTTTCTAAGATTTGGCTTAGCAGTGCATAGCCCGAAACTCGAATTTTAGATCGAGCGGTTTTTGGCTTAGGCGACCTAAATAAGAATTGAATATATCATTAATAGGAACTCAACGGTAAAAAGACAGACGAAAACAGAGTCTGTATGTCGAAGTTATGAATTTTACGCGGACATTTAACAGTATAATCTCCTCGTACTGTTAAATTTAAGATCGGTCGAGAATTAGCCAATGGAGTCAAAATGAAAGTTGTAGATCTTATTTTTATCTACGCGTGGATATAAAGAACGTCAAAATGGAGCTCGTATGTGAAAGTTACGGAATTTAGATGTTAGAAGTGTGTTGTGCGAAAATGGATGACGTGGCACAATCTTGGCCATTGCTTTCTCACCAAGTCTTGCCACCAGATGGTGACATGTGGCACCAATTTCAGTCATATTTCACCCTATAAATAGAACCTCTCTCACTCACTCTCTCTCTCTAGAACCTCTCTCTAGCCTCGAAACCCCCCGAAAAACCTAAGGAACCTTCCTAGCACGAGGCAGAAGCCCCGGAGTGCTTGACGGCTCCGAGAAGAAGAGATTTTCGGCTCGGGAAGATGGGAACGCTGCTCCAAGCAAAGCCCGATTTTCTATAAAACCCGTTGTAAGTGAGCTACGTTTACGCTATTTTTTAATAGCTTTTATTTAATTATAGTAACGTTATTAGGAACTTATAATAAGTATTTGAGCTATTATTATGGGTTATATAAGTATTGTTTAGCGCTTATATAATAGTAATAATATCTAGACTATTAATTAGTCTCGGCGAATAATAGACTAAACTCTAGTGGTAATAATACTAAGTTTTGTCGAAGGAAATTATTTTTAAGAAGCGAAGCATTGTCTGAGTTCGGAATCACCACCTTTTCAAGTGAGTGAATGGTCCCTTTCATCTTACACATAGATATGAAGTATTTAATATAAATTACGTGATATGTGTGCATATTGTCTAAATACTTGTTGTCTATGCTGGGTGAAATATTTTTATACAGATTTTAAATTATTTAAACTGTATATGTATTTTATATCTACAAAATGTGTTGGGTAAAACATGAGTAGATGTAATAGTTGCTGTATGACCAAATAAAATAATGAAAGGCCTCGATATAGATGTTATTGATGATCCAGTCATCTAGCAAAGTATAGATGACGACCACAGATTATTCTAGACAGACTGTGGAACGCTAGCAGGCTCGCAACCTGTAGGTGTTTATTTGAATTGTGTGCTCACCAACAGTACTCCATCCCCCACATGGTTGCCTTATTTGACATGAATTGCTGAGGAACCCCCAAAGCATGTGTTTTCACCCCGATGGAAGTCGTTAGACTAGATCCCTTGTGTTATATGTTTTAGGGACGTAAAGTGAGGATAACGGGAACGGGTAATTGGGTTTGTTTGGTTTGATAAAGTTAATAAACTTATTTATTGTGGGTTGAAAACCCTATGTACTCACCAGGTTTCCCAACTTGACCCACTCGGTTTATTTATATCACATGTGTTGATATGAAGTCACATTACACTAAGAGATTAAGGATGTATAAATCACTAGTGATAATGAATGTAAGTTCTATTTATGCTTATGTTTATGTATTGACGATGACATCCCAATTGTTTTAAAATGAATAAAAATACTTTTCTTCGAAAATGCTTTGATAACGTATTTATCATGTTTTACTGGGAACAAATTCCACAACATTTTTAGTAAAAGAAGTACTCTGATTTTTATAAAGCATAAATAAAATCGATCTTTTCTGACCATGAAAATAAGGATGTCACAAAGGACCTGAAAACATTTAACCACAAAATCATAAGCACAAAACTTAGTAAGCTTCCCAAAATACCACATAACATACATACAAATTGTCATGGGCTACCCCCATAGCCTTTTCCCTGGAATGTCATGGGCTACCCTCAGGGTCTTACAACCAAGTGCCATGGGCTACTCCTATGGTCTTTCATGCAATTGTCATGGGCTACCCCCATGGTGTTTCATTAAATGTCACAGTCTACCCTCGGGGTCTTCCATACAACTATTACAAAGACAATTAGCATATAACACAATCGAGTGGGTTGGTATTGGTGCCTTCAACCTACAAGTACTCTTTTAGTTAGAGACGACTTATTACTCTTTTAGTTAGTTTATTGTTTACCCGTTTCTCGATTGATTTACAAAAATAACACCCAAAGTAGTGAAATCATGATTTGAAATTGTTTTTAAACACCTTCATCTCTTGTATACTATCTTTTATAAAATTTATAGTTCTATTAGCTTCATTTTTTCCTACCCATATTGGTTTTTAGTATTGTCATACAAAAAATCAAACTTAATTTAAAAAAAATTGTTTCTGAGTTTTTTGAGAAATTCAAAAGGATATGAAAATGGATATACTCATATATGGCAAATGAGATATTATATGTGGATAATTGTTGAAGTGAAAGTTTCATATATATTCTTTTTAAACATCAAAATATAATATTTGTCCAAATTAATTTTTAAATTTCATATATAGCCTTTATTAATCTAAATATCATATTTGTCAAAATCTTTTTTTACAATATTTTTAATAGTTTATAATCAAAATTTATATCTTAAAATTATTATACGCTCTACAAACAAGTTAATATCATTAACGTGATATTTGTAGAGTAGAATGGAAGTTATGTTAATTTTGTGCTTATTGAGCTCTACAAACAAGTTAATATCATTAACGTGATATTCGTAGAGTAGAATGGAAGTTATGTTAATTTTCAGACAAACAAATTAATATCATTAAGGTGAATTAATTCGTGGTTACATCACAAACCTTTATGTATTATTTAGTGTACTTCATTAAAGCGATCGACTTCACCACGTGACACATGGAACCAGCATTTGGAATCTGTATGAAGCAATTTGGAGTTAAGAATCGAACGTTCTTCAAATTCAAAGAACGAAAAAGAGATCAATCACAGTAACCAATAACACTCACAGTCTCACATCACACCCCGGTTTTCTTGAACCCAACACCCAGACCCACGCATTTTGCTCCTAACTTTGTGCTTATTGAACATGGTCTGTCCCTCCTTAATTTTCCAATCTTTAATGTTTCCCTTACATGTATATACATATAGGTTCTGTAATTGTTATCCTATATACTATGCATAAACAAAAATGACTTTCTTGATGTCTCTTATCTTTTTTTCCATTCTCTCCTTAAGCTTGTCATACTCTCAAGCTGCTGTTCGTACTCCATTTCTTGATGGTAAAGCTACTGTTTCGTGTAACAAGTCCTCTTATTCTGTCTATTATGGTTTATATATAGGGTTTCTTGCAAGACCAATATCAACTCCTTTTAATCTTTTTGATTTGTCTTTATTTAGGGTTACTAGCAAATGGGAACTTTGAAGAAGGACCAAAACCATCAGACCTCCAGAAAACAGTGCTCATAGGGAGGTATTCCTTGCCGAAATGGGAAATCTCCGGCCTGGTGGAGTATGTCTCCGGTGGGCCACAGCCGGGTGGGTTCTACTTCGCGATCCCTCGTGGTGCTCATGCAGCAAGGCTTGGAAATGAAGCCTCCATATCACAAGTTGTTGATTTAAAGGTTGGATCAATCTATTCGCTCACATTTTCTGCAACAAGAACTTGTGCTCAAGACGAGGTGCTAAAGGTGTCGGCTTCCGGCCAGTCAAGTGACCTTCCGATTCAAACTTTGTATAGCAGTGATGGAGGAGACACTTATGCTTTTGCTTTCAATGCTACTTCTGGTAGCGTGAAGATCAGTTTTCGTAACCCAGGTGTTCAAGAGGACCCTACCTGTGGACCTCTCTTGGATGCCATTGCAATCAAAGAGATGCGTCCTCTAAGCTACACTAAAGGTATTATTATCGTCTCTCGATCTCCACTTACATCGGATAATAAATGATCGACTCTTATCTTTTTATGGATCTTTTAATTAGTGTTACGTGAGGTAACATGATTGAAAATAATGCAGGACATTTGGTGAAAAATGGGGGCTTTGAGATCGGACCTCATGTGTTCAAAAACTTCTCAACAGGAGTTCTCCTCCTTCCCAAAATACATGACATCATCTCACCACTCCCCGGGTGGATTGTAGAGTCACTAAAACCAGTGAAGTACATAGACTCAAAACACTTTCGAGTACCCGAGGGTCAAGCTGCCATTGAGTTGACTGGAGGGAGAGAAACTGCTATATCACAAATCATTCGCACGATTCCTAAGAAATTCTATACAGTATCATTCACCATTGGAGACGCAAAGAACAGCTGCCATGGATCCATGATGGTGGAAGCGTTTGCAGCAAAGGAAACTTTAAAAGTGAAGTTTAAGTCTACGGGAAGTGGAGGTTTTAAGTATGCTAGCTTTAAGTTTCAAGCGATTTCGGATAGAACAAGACTCACATTCTTTAGTGCTTTTTACCATACCAAGCTTAATGACTATGGTCACTTTTGTGGCCCTGTCTTGGATGATGTTAAGGTTTTGCCTGTTTTTCCGTGAACATGGCAAATACTTGAACAACTAGAGATTGATTCAAAGGATGCTTCTTTTCTAGTTAGATTAGGGTACTGTATGCTTTTTTTTTCATGGGCTTAATCCAGTAAGCTGGAGTAATAGGCATAATTTAGCCATTTTAAAGACACTTTTCAACGGTTTAGATTGGTTAAACTTTGCTTTGAAATAAACGGAGGTTGTTTTTTCGACCATTTCTTTTTGGAGTTAATTATTAATATCTGGCCCTTCAAAAAGCTCTCATTGTAGAGATCTAAAGATACAAAAGTTTAGCACTTATGAAAATGGATTGAACATATCATTTGCGTTTGATGAACTAAATGCAAGTACTCTATCCTCAATGCAATGTTAAACAAACAAATTAGAGTAAATTTATCCAAATTAGAGTAAATCAATCCAGCCTGTACAATTAATTATAAGTTTATTATATATGTATTGTTTGTTATAAGAATGCTAATTTAAATAAGCAAACCATTTATTCGAAAACGGATAAGACACTGGCTTGTTCTTATTAGTTACAGACTTACAGTCTCAACGGTTTACTCTCACCTTTAAGAATAAAGGCCAAAAATGGCATGTACATCAAATGTGTCAAAAAAGAATAACTCACATTGCTGAAATACCTTTTAAGACTAAAATCATCAAGATAAATAATTAATTAATGCCAACTTTAAAAAGCCTTTCTTATGTTCTCCTTTCACTAGTTCAGGGTTGCATACTTAGGATAGGACCTTCAATGTCATCCTTAATATTGAGATGCTCTTAAGAAGTTATCATATGGACTTGATGTTGGTAGAGGAGAAATCTCATCTGTTACACCTTCATTACCAGATTTACTTGCACCAGGAGCTCCACTATGTTCATTCAAACCATCGCCAGCTTGCTAAAAAATATATTTAAAAAAAAAAAAATGTAAGCCACATATCAAACCAATATGTATATATGTATATGCATGTATGTATATACCGATTGATTGTTTGTGTCACCATTGTTTTGCCTCTGGTTCATGCTCATCATAGTGGATATTTTTGTTTGCTTCTCACAGTGATTTGTCATTTCCATGAAAGACATATTAGGTGCATTGCATACTGACAGTCTACCAACTTGTTGTGCAGATTCCATCACCTACACAATATTTAAATAAATAATTATAATCCTTCTTATAAAACTACAATAACTAAAAAGACTTACTGAGTCTAACAACTGATCGACACTCCACAGATCCATATCAAAAGCCGTTTCTGAATCTGCTTTAGTGATATCATCATCATCAAGCGAAAAGAGTGGAGAAACCTACAGAAATCAACAAATCATATGTTTAAAAAAAAATATATAAAAAAAAAAAAAGCAAAATTGTAAATATTCAAGAGGATTTGATTTACATCATCTTTGAAGCGACCCTTATTTTGTAAGATATCTGCCAACCCATATTCCGTAGGACATACATCATCATCAGGCACGAATTTGTGAAGCAACTCTTCCTTAATGGAGGTTATTTCAGTCTGCACATATAAACTGAGTCAATACAATATATACACTTGCAATCAGAAAGTAAATAAAATGACAGGTTTACCCCAGCGACAGTTTCCAAGTGTTTGACAACTGCAGCAGCCAGTGATTCTGCTGACATGTTGTCTGCAAGCTTTAGATCTGAAAGGGATTTCTGTGCAGCCTTATTATCCTCTTTAGAACCAAACTTAATCTGATTCTGATCTGATCCATCTTTAGTGGTCAACTTGCAATCATCAACCAAACACAAGAACGGATCAACCTGCATGACACCATTAAGGTTAATTATAAGTCTACACAAGGGTAAAAATGACATCTTAATGACAAATTGTTACCATATTAGAAAGTGCAGCCTTAGCCAGTGGGACAAGTGGGACAACACCAAAAGCTTTAGAAGAGATAATTATCATGGAGATTGACAATGTATAAAGAGATCTTCTACGCGATGTTGGCAGTGATCCTTCTATACTTCCTTCCAAAAGAGACATATTTAGCAACGAAAACGCCAGCTGGAAGCTTCTGATTAGAGCCTCGCGGCTGGAATTCTACACGATTTTTCAAAAACAAAAAAAAAAATTACAAAAGGAAAAAGATATTTAATGAATCATGATGAAACCATTATTAATTAATTAATTACTTACTTTCCCTTTAGAGAATAACAACACCAAGCTGTAGGTGTGAGCAATTGCTTCATAATTTTCAGGTGTGTTTTCAGAGGAGATGGCTTGTGTCCAGATTGAAGATAGAAGTAGGGATATTTGATGACTACTGAGCCGAAGTGTAACTGCTTCCTGTATTATTATTATTTTTAACAGAAACATATAAATGAACAGAAAATGGAAAATTGAAAACGACAGTGAGTGAAAGAAAGAAAGAGAGCATACAATATCATTGTTTGCAACTGCTGCTGCACCAGCTGAAGAATTTCTCATGCTATACTTTCGGCTGTAAGTTGACTTGATCTTATTCATGACCCCAACATTATTGGCTTTTTGATCTCCTTTATTGGAAGCAAGCTGCTTCTCCTTTTGCATTTTCTGAAAGAGGGCAGCTGAAGAAGAAAACACAGAAACACTTCTGGAAAGTGACCTTGGAACAATTTCAGCTCTTTTTGGATCATCCAAATCCATGGATGGACTTGCATGAGGACAAACAGATGATGGAACAAGAACCACAGAGAAGATACGATGAGCTCCAATTCTAGTTTCATTATCTTGATGAACCATAGCAGGAAGTAACTGATGAAATAATGCTTCAGGAAATGCCTACATGTATAAATAAATCATTCATTTTAGCAATTTGAAGCATATAAAGTTATCATCATTGATCCTTACCTTATTGTTATATGCCATATTTGGTAAAGAGGCGACAACTTGAGCAGTTCTGTAAACAGCAGCAACTGTAGTCTGTGCTATAACTTTAACACTGGAAATGTTTTCCATCATATCAGCCATGATATCAAAAATAGGGCTAGCATCACCAACCTGATTCATCAAAATAAAAAAACTCGTGTTTTAGCAATATATTAATGAAGGTGAGGCTAATGAATAATGATGATACCTTTGAAGATAACTCCACAAGGCATTCATCAATAGCTTCTGTGAACTGTTTGTTAAAGTTGATGACATCAGCTCCAAGGTTTCCATCGGTTAGTGAATGATGTATGCATTTTTTCAAATGTCTAATGATGTCGCTTATAGCACCGACTATTGCAACGGATGCTTTTATCTTTGTTTCACGGGAGAGTGACGTGGCAACTTCTAGAATGTCGAGTTGCATGTTTGGTCGTTTAATGACATTTTTATGGTCAAGATGTTTGACTAATACCGAAAGCAGAAAATGCGTAATTTCTCCTGAAATTTTCAAATAAAATATTTGTTGCTAGTGAAACGAAAAACAAAAAACAGTAAATGGAATCGTCCATGAATAATTATATAATACCAGATTCATCAATTATGGTCTGCATGTCCTTGAGTACTGGGAACGCGACCCCACTTGAAGCGGGCCAATGATTCTCATTATCGAAACAACGGAATAAAGATTCCAGAATACGCCTCATGGTTGTAGCTTCCTTAGCCAACTTACCCATGTTATGGAGACACACACGCGACCAAAAGCTTGCGCTTTTAGCGTCTTCTCTGTATAAAAGAAAAATTGACAAAAGTTATATTAAATTATTTCTCTATTTCATTGTCAAAAGTGAGTTTTTGGAGAAGGGAGTTACGTTGACACAGTTACTTCGCCCTTATCATTAACGATTGCTCGCCATGATTCAACCTTCACCAAAGCGTCTTTTGGGGTGACACTGCGATCATTTTTAAGCATTTCACGTACCGAAGAGTCCTTTCCTGGAGCTCCGTAATTTTCCAAAACTACCGAAACGATCTATGTAATGCAAATCATTAATTAATTAAAGCTCATTTACTTTGTAAAAAACAAATAACCAGGTGTGGCTATGCTTACATTGTCAAACTCCGGTGACATATACGAGTATCGACCCATGAACCAAACCTATAATTAAAAACAACACATCAACAAAAGATAATAAAATAATTGATTTGATACCCTTATTATATATTGTATAGTATAAAGAAAAGGGTAGATTACCATTGAAGAAAGGGCCTGCAACCCAGCTGAACGTAGTGGCACCACTCTCTCATCTTCCCCAACTTCTTGAGATAATTGACAGAGTTTAGGGATAAATTTTTCTAAGGTAAACATGTAAGTCCCGTCTTTCTGCAAATCACAAAAAAGACTAGATTATGATTCAGAAGCTAAACATAAAGAAAATGAAAACAAACAAAAGCTCCAAACCTGACTATTTACGAAGTCAAACAATGTTTGGCATCCGATAATTTGCATCTCATCTTGTCGTGTCTCATCCAGCAGAGTGTGCATGATTGCTAACAAACTATTAGCAAAAAGGGGCCTGATCATAGAAACACAAAAGTATTCTTTTAATTCCAAACTTCTTTAAAAAAATGTGGTCATGACACGGTGGAAGAATAAGATCAAATATCACAGGAAAGAACTCACATTTGATCCTTGCATGAAATCAATAGCTTCCTGTATATAGACATAACAATTCTTGCACCTCGAAAGTTCTGATTTCTTATTTCCTTGTAAAACCGTCGCTCAAGGGTATATGTGATCTGGAGGTACAAAAGGACATTATGAAAAATTAACAACATATCGGTCAAAAGAAATGTATCATGTATGGATATAATCTATATACATAGATTGTGCTTTTGCCACAACTTACATTAAAAGGAATCATTTACATCAAAAAAAAAAAGTACCTTTGGGATCCGTAAAGGGTTCCTCACAGCATATTCACAGAGTTTCCCAACCTTACGATCATTTGGTTCTTCCTCCTTTTTTTAATTGAAAACAAAACATGTTACATAAGCGTGATTATATAATAACATATACATAGAAATTTTGATAAATTTATTGGAGACTAACCGGATATACAGGGAATGTCTCAGCAATGAGCTTCTTGTACCTCTTCAAAGGCTGCCTAGACCTTGTACGGATTCCAGGGCAGAAGCAGCAAAGATGGCCACATGCTGGCACAACTTGCCTTGATATTACCCCGGAAACAACCGTCATGTTTGGTGTTTAGAAAATAACAAAGATTATATAATGTATGTATGCCAATAAGGGAAGGATTCTTGTTCTTGTAGATTTTATCAG